GACGAGTTATTAAACATTTTGTGGGTGTACAGGACCACCCCTCGGTCCTCAACAGGAGAAACCCCATACTCCCTGGCTTACGGGATGGAAGCCATCATACCTCTTGAGGTAGGACTCCCGACCATAAGGACCCAAGCTTTCGACGCGGGGGGGGGAATGACCGTCAACTGGGCTTGATTTGGATCTGGTGGAAGAAAAAAGGGAGACAGCCGCCTTAAGAATAACAAAATACCAGGAAAAGATTTTCCAACTGTACAACAAAAAGGTCAAGGCGTGAGAATTCCAAATCGGCGATCTGGTCCTCAGAAGGGTAACCAAGGAAAAATGGGACCCAACTGAGAAGGGCCTTATAAAGTGATATCTGTCGGGGGCGCCGGGTCATACAGATTAGAAGATATGGAGGGAAAACTTGTAACGCGATCGTGGAATGTGACGAATCTAAAAAAATACTATTTTTGAGTATTTGTCTGCCTCAGTGTTTGCCAACGACAAAGATAAAGGGCAAGGCCCTGGGGACAGAGTTCAAAGACTCTCGCCCCCGAAACAAACACAAGAGCAAGTCTCCTGGAAGGGCAAGGCCCTGGGGACAGAGTACAAAGACTCTCGGCCCCGAAACAAACACAGGAGCAAGCCTCCTGGAAGGGCAAGGCCCTGGGGACAGAGTTCAAAGACTCACGCCCCCAAAACAAACACAGGAGCAAGCCTTCTAGGACATTTCAAGGATTCCTACGAAAGTATACGCAAGAAAGAATTCAAAATCATGAATCACATTCTATCCGATATTAGACCTTTAAACAGAACTTTGTTCAAAAAGAGGGACATTCCGTCCCCAAAAACTATAAGGGAAAAAGTATAGATCAAAAAGAAAAAAAAAAAAGGGTTTTCATCTTGCCCTGGGCATCTCCAAAATATTCGCCGATGGCGAATCGGCATAGAAAGGTTGAGCAGCTTCGGGAGCAGGCAGAGCGGGAGGTACTTCGGCGACAGAAGGACCCTGAGGGGGTCCTGGTCCGACAGGGCCTCATCAGACAAATTCACTATTATCGCCTCAGGCAGATCCACCGAAACTTGCACCGGCATTGGAATCTCGCCCTCGGCAGCAATCTCTGTTTTGGCCCGTTCCATCTCTGCCGAGGGCACGTACTTGTGCATCTAGAAGAGTGGAGAGTCTAACGGGATTCCAGCAGACTGGAGCACCTCGTCCCACCCCTTCTTGAAGAACTCCTTGTTGTTTTCCTCAAGAGCAGGGAGCACGTCATCGGCGAACTCTTCTCGGAGTTGCTCCTCGGACTTCCTATTCAGTGCCTCATCCCTGATCCTGTCCAGCTCCTGGGTCAGAGCCAGACAGCTTTCCTCTGAACCAACAGCCCTCTCCTCTGCCGCGAAGAGCTGCTGCGTCTGTTCTGTTATCCTCCTCTCAGCGTCGGCAAGGGCAACACTTAGCTTTTCAGCGCCGACTTTCGCCATCTCGGCCTCCTTGAGGAGTTGCTCGATTTGAGCAGCCTGCCCCGCGAGGGTGGAATCCCTTGCAACGACATCCTCCCTAGCACTGGCAAGGGCTCCCTCGGCTTCTTCCTTCTGCTCTCGAACCCGTTGAAGGTCCATCCTAGTCCCATGGTACCGCGCCGCTATTATGGAAATCTGTTGGGTGGCCTGCAAATGAAAGAGCATGTCACTAAAAGGAAAGTTGGGGCTAAAAGAGACTGAAGCAAAGATGGAACTTACCACCAAGGAATTTTGGATGATGGAAGGAAACAACACGTTTGTTGATCGCCCTCTGTGAGCCGCCATGTCGGCCTCGAAATGCAGCGTCTCACTCACTGCATTGGCGACATGAGGGTCCTGCAAAATGGAATTGTCAACCCTGATCACTCGGTCCATGTGATCAGTGGCTCGAGGTTTCCACTCCGCAGCTTCCACTGTCTGCGGAAGAGGAGTCTGCTGTCGCCGCTGTTGCTGTTGCTGTTGCTGTTGTTGCTGAGGAGCAGGGGGTAACCCACGGCTTCTCCCACTTTGCTGCTGAGCGGGGGAGGCCTTGGATCCCCTCCCAAGGCCGTCGTGCCTATGTTTGACCCTCCTCTCCTCCTCCATTTGAGGATCTCGGTCACGCACCTGACCCCGACTGACGACTCTTGAGGAGGGGGTGGCACTGGTCCCTGCAGGTGGGGTCCCACCGGTCGATCCTCGTCCCCTCCCAGCAGCGAGGGCTTGCCTCTGCCTAAAGAACCCTAAATCAATACGGGGCGCGTTGGACATAACTACCTCAAGAGCGTCCTCGACGTCGAGAGATTGTAAGATTTGGAAGTCCGGCCAGGAATCTCTCCCCGAAGTCCCCACCTCGGCGTGCGTAGGAACAAAGTCCTCTCCGACCCCGAGCTCTTCAACTTCAGCCTTCGAGGCCCGATCAGGGTCTTCTTCCAAGTTCTCCTCAACTTCCTGCCCCGTCGCCTGATCAAAGAGTTCAGACCACCGAGAAGGCTCGAAAGGCTAGGGAAGCTGCGAAAACTTTTTATACCCAGGGGTGTAATTCAGGAGGATGTGGGCAGCCCGGCCGAGCCCGTCATCGCCAGTAAAATTCCAAACAGTGATTAAGTCAGCAAAATTCACCGACGATCGGGGTGGAGGTTCTGTTTCCCGAGGGGAGATGTCTGCACAAGCAAAAAGAGGAGAGACGGTCATGAGCATGTAGAAAATTTCAAAAACAAAATAATGAGGCCCGAAGGAATCGACGTACTTGTCGTTCTCCATTCCAATGGACATAACAAGCCGTCATACTCGGGACCGACACCTCTCTGCTAAGATCCCCTGAAGATGAGTAGGTCATCCTTGTACTCCTTGTCCGAGTCAGGAAGGTGAGTTACGAGGTACATAGATGGGTCCCTGGCTTTGAGGTAGAAGTGTTGTTGAGGCGTAACTCTCAAAAGGGAATAACAAAAAAGGATATCGTCCAGTCCGACGTTTACCCCAAGACGCCTATTGAGTTCTAGCACCCCCATAATTATCCTAAAGACATTAAGGCAACACTGCCCGGGAAAGAGGTGGAAATGAGAGAGGAACTGGAGAAGCAGAGGGGCAAAGGGAACCTAATTCCGCCTTCTATAATGGCTTTAATATAAAAAGGCATTGCATCCTCGGTACCTAGGGTACGAGGGTGCACAGCGCATCATAATCCTCTACCTCTACATTCGGTAGAACGCCATACCTAACCCTAAATCTATTAATTTGTTCACTACCTTTTACTTTATACTTCTCTAGCCTCGAAGTACTAGCCTGAGGATTCTCAGGGGCAGAACGACGACGAGACATGTTCAAAAAGTGATAAAAATAGAGGGGGTTTTCCACGAAGATCCCCAAGAAGGCTTCCCAGGGGTCAATCGCTGGATGGCAACCAGAAAACACCTCCGGTAATCGAAAAACCAAAAGAGACAGAAGGGCAAAGAAATGGAGGATACTGGAACTCACCAGAGCGTAAGAACAGGTATTTTCTGAAAAACTTGAATCGATTCCTTCCTAGAATGTTCAGAAACAAAGGATGGGTCTGCTAGCTTTAAAGCTTCAGTGAAAAGGTTGGGCAGTTAAGAGACAGAAGAGAAGAGGTCTCCGGCGAAGATTCAGGCAAGGGCTCTCTGGAAGAAAAGTTCAGAATGACAAAATGAGAAAAAGAGGGAGAAAGCCCATTTATATAGTACTGGTCTCATCATTAGGCGCGAAACACAAAAGGGCGCATTTAATGCGCACGACTCCCTAAGCAGGGGAAAGCGGCTAGAGGCAATGATGAAGCAGTTGAGGTTGTTGGGAAATCCTTCGTCTCCTTACGACGCGTGTCCTCGGCGTCAGAAGATCAAAGGCTGGGGGCAGTTGATGGGACTTTTCTTAAATACTCCAAAATGAAGACACGTGTCCTCGGCGTCACTAAAAATCCTGTTAACTGAGATCACGTACCATCGGCTTACAAACTCCCTCGCCCCCGAGGTACTTGACATGTGTCGAGTACGTTTTACGAATCGACCTTCGGTCTGATATGGTACCTCGGTCGTCATGTACAGCTTCCTTCGGCTCGAGATGTCCTATCCTCGGTACCGAGATGTACATATCCTCGGTACCGAGATGTACCCCCGTCCAGGATGCCTTTTTCTCTGCTCCAGTATAAACTATAGATGTACAGGTCATTAGCCTAGGCTAGTCTAGGTTAGCTATCATGGTCTTGTCTTACACAATTGGTGTCAGAAGGAACAGGAAGGCAAGGTCCACAGCCAATGAGGGATGGACGCGTGGCAAATTGTGTCACATCAGAGACAGAAAGACCGCATGTCCTTACTGACAACGCGACTTGGGAAAGCAAACATTTAATTAAACCATTCCCTTGATGAGACCGCATTCAATGCGGTAAGGCTCGGAATTGAAAGGCAATAAATGTCTCAAAGGCTGGGCATTTATTGCATCCTCCCCGAGTGGAGATCATTAGACAGTCGGCAACCCGATGACACAACATTGATTGCTCGGCACTCCGAACAGTTAAAGAAAGGAGGACATTCCTCATTAGAATCAGTGCGCACACTGTCTGTACCTGATAATCATCTACTGACAACACTGACGGCAATCATGAGCTTTTGAGGTATAAGTACTCCTCATAAAAGGCAAAACGGTATGCAACAAAAAACTCTTGACTACGAAATATACTCAGTGCTTTCTTCTTCCTCTCCCTTTCAAAAGCTAACTTGATCGTCGGAGGGGATACGCCGAAAAACACTCCGGCGCCCTTCTAACTTGTTCTCCTTTGTTCCAGGAACCTTTCCCCAGCCTTACTGGATCATTCCTTCAATTCACGAGAGTCTCCCGTTGCCGTTTCCAGGTTACCATCGGATCTCACAGGCTATCCCAAGCAGCGTGGTTGACCACTTAGCTGACTCACCCGAGTTCACCAAGGGAGAGACTTGTTCTCGTTTTTTATATTGTGCAAGATCCTGCACGCACAATGATGGACCCTTCATTGATAAAAGTTTCTATGGAAATCTTGATTCTCTCTGCTTGAATGGTCTAAAAGCTTTGGGTGTCCAAACCGATACAGAGGATGTTTGCGCTCTGATTTTCAAGTTTCTTACTTCTCACAACCAATCTGTTCGTGTAATGAGAATCTACAGGTTCCTACAGAAATTCAACTGGACTCGAAAATTAGGGAATGATTTAATATACCAGCTGTGGATCCCAGATCATATTGGTGGTGGCAAATGGGTGTCTAGTTGGGACTGTGTACTCCATGATAAAGACAATCTATTTGGTCATTGTTTACATGCTCTTGATAAATATTATGGCACACGATTGCTCAATTTTCTGTCAAAGCTTTATGTAGTTGCTGAGTTTCCCTGTCTTGATAGATATATTGATCTCTGGGACAGTTGGGTGGGAGGTAACCACGAACTGTCTGCTATAAAGTTGAACTCCTTTTGGAAATACATATCAGAAAACTGGAATTCTTCTACCGAAGAGAGTCTGAAAACTCGTTTGACCATGTTACCTGCGATGGAGATGTCTGGGAAACTCAGGGTGGTGAAGAATGAAGAATTGTTCATACCTGATGACCTGCTACTCAAAATGGCATTCTCAAAAGTGAGCGAAAAGCCATTATTTGTCTGGTTCCCCCAAAACGGATTGTCAGCCTTTTCTAGACTCTATGAGATATACAGAAGTCTTGGAATTCGTAAAATATCAGAAGTTGTTGAGTTCTCTGTGAACTGTAAATTTGAAAAGCTGGAATCTGAAGAGAGTCTGATAGGGAGATCATTGATCAAAGTAGTATTGAGTTTCCTTTCAAATCCTCTAATTATTATGCCAGTGGTGGAAAGACACAGGAGAGCAAAATCCCTCCTTGATATCTCACTTTTTGGAACAGAAGAACCAATGATCGTCAGCTACAGTTTGGTATTACCTTCTCCGAAAAAGAGATTGCAAGTTGAAGTAAGAAAAAAGGTTCTGTGGGACAATAAATCCCAGAGACTGCTTCTTCATAAACCAAGCTGGAAAGAAGGGCACAAAGACATTGAGTTCATCACTAATTTTGCTCGAGCAATATCAGAGGCAGTTCTGCCAAATAGCACTACTGATCTTGTAGACAGCCTTTGCAAAATTATTAAGATGAGTTTTGCATTTGGTTTCAAAGAGGATGAAATTGACTCCTTACTGGTGACACAAAATCTAGAGCTATCTGCTGACGATGAAAGATTCCTTGATTGTGCATTTCCTCCTTTCAAATCTTCTCTGGTTTCAATAGAACTTCTGTTGTCCCGCCTGGAATCACCTTGTACACCAGAAACTCCTTTTAATGAAGAATTACGAACTCCTGAGAAGAAGCCGCGACTGAACTGAATCTCTGTTGGTCCATTCTTTTTGGTACTGCAATAGCATGTGATTATGTGAGAAATGTTTTTTGTTTTTGGGGGACAGGTAAATTAGTAGTTTTTGTGACATGTTATATCTTTGTTATTATAATTTTTTTTGCAAGCTCTCTCTCTTTCCCCCTTTAAAGAATTACTTCTCTCCAGCATTTCTCTTTGTGAAAAAGTTTAGTTCAAGTCCTCATAAAATATTTGGTTTATTGAAATCCTCTTTGACATTTGAAATGCTCTGCTCTTCCTTCTTGAAGCATAGTTTGCTCAATTTTTGACAGGATATTTTTTGAAATTTTCACTGTGGACGTTAACATGCTAATATATTAAATCGGTAGAAATTGTGCCATCGAGCATGTTAATTTCCTCTGTATAACTTCTAAGTATTTTTATTAGAAACAATATATTTTATTTTAAGAATTTTGAAAAAAAATTACCTTCATTTTCTGCTGCAGAATGCATGAGGAGTGTTAAAAGGGTTGTTTTCTGAAAATGGCAATGTGCAGTTTCTGTGGATTTCTGGTGTAGATAGCACGAGGAGTATTTTGCTTTGTTTATCTGTTTGCTGTTGCAATGCATTGTTTAAATCTTGTGGGTGCAGCAGTTTTTTGAGCATTTCACAGTTTAAGGTAAGTTGCCTTCTAAAGAGTTCCGTATTTAATTGTTCTAAAGGTCAAGTTGAGTTTTCACTAATGTAAAGCTACTAAAATTTTCGTGGTTGTTCTTCACTGGAGCTTTGGATCCACCTATTCTGATGCTTGAGTTTGGGAATTAAGGTTGTTGCATAGTAAATTTTTCCTTTGTTGTTTCGGTGTTGTGGTACCAGCAAAGAGATTGCTTAACGTGATCATTATGATATTCTTCTAACCATAATGCTGCTACAACATTTTGCAATCTTCCTTTTTTTCTGATCCTTTATGTTTGTTTTATGCATAGGAAGCTCCGAGGCCATACGTTGCTGGTAAGCAACCCCCCCTAGTATTCTATGATCGTGGCAAGTGTGCGTTGGGGGCTATCCTGAAGCTTTACAAACCCTACATTCTGCATCTATTATCAAATGCTTCACTTTATAGGCACTTGACATTGAAAGAAGTTTGCGAGGACTTGAATCTTAAGTGTTCAAAATATGTGCACTACTGCTCTACATGACACAACTGCTGTACCTTCATAGCTTTTTGGATTTGAACGTAATGGTATGGGTTTTGCCTTCTCAGTACAATGTTTATATGCAACAGAGTCACAAGGCCTTTTAGCACTTAATTTGAATTTTTCAGTTTGTGATGGAGTTTATAGATATGCCTGCTATATGAAACCAATGCTTGAACCAAAAAAAAGAAATCTGTTCATACAGTCATGCTGCTATGTGGTGAAGCATTGCAATTTTAACAAAAACACTTAACTAATCTGAACTATCACATTTTTCTGCATTAAATTGAATTTTTTGTGTAGAGAAACACTAAGTAATCGGAATTGTATATAACTTTGTATAAACTAATTGGGTCTATCCTAGTTGGTCTGATTTGATATTCTAATCATATATCAAGTGATCCGTTTAAGGAATTTTGGCAAAGACAATGATTGATTTTTTATGTGTCGTGTTTTTTCAAGATTGTATTGTGACCGGTATGTTCACTTGGGATGTTCTTTTTTGTTTTTTAAATATGTTTTGGACTTCATTTTCACTTTTTTAGTCCAATAACTTAATCTTTCCTATCCAGAAAAAAAAAAATACGAAGGACAAATCTAATTTCATGTTTGCTTTGGGAGTAAAATAAAATAAAAATAAAAATAAAAAAAGAAGCTAAAATATTGAAATCCATTCTCTTATTCCATTCCAGCCAACACAAGAATAAACAATGAAATTGCCTTTTTTTTTTTGGTTCTGGTCCCTATACTTTTCCGTTATCACTACAACTAGAGAACAAGAAGAAATGTTAAAAAAAAACTCTTCTGTTCTCGTCTTTTACTTTTCTTATATAAGACTCTTTTTGTACCAAAATAAAAAAGGAAATAGAATTTCTTTTTCCCTGTCTTTTCCTTGTTCTATTTTTTTTTTGTTCTTCCTTTCCAATCAGTTACTCCCACAACAGACATGGTTAAAGGGAATTAATTATGTTAATTGTATTAAAAACTAGGATTTCTACCTTAGTCCTCTTTTTTTTTTTTTCTAATTTATTCACATTCTTATTATTGAAATATGTTCATAGAATATATAATTTTTTTAAAAAACCTTTAAAAATAAGGATATTTTGAAAAAAATAAATTAATTATAACGGTAAATATTCAGAGTATAATACCTTTTCTGTTTGTTTGGATGGGGTAAAGGTTATGTATATGTAACCATTTTCAAACCGAGCTAATTGACACTATGTCACTATGCATTTAAAAATAATTAAATGAACAAAGTGAAATCCTACTATTTTACATAAGATAATTTTTATATTAAACAAAAGGGTAATTATTGAATTTGACAGGATTCACTTGTTAATTTATATATTTTTTTAATTAGACGATAAAACCAAGTAAAAGGTCAAGATCCCATAAAAAAATAATTACTATTGTAATACAAATTAGTAAAAGAGTAATATTATTTAGGTCTAATTTACTAATCTAATTATTCATAAATACTGAATTGACTGTAACCCCTAATATTTTATGTGGTGATATAATGATTTCAATTTTTAGAATTAGAAAATGATGAAAATTTATTTATTTTAGCATATGATTATAAATATATATATATATGTGTGTGTGTGTATGTGTGTATACAAATACATAATATTTAATGTGTCTGTGTCTTATTTAGAAAAAAAAATTCATGTCAATGTGTCCGTGTCATACATGTCAAAATGCCGTATCTATGTTTGCACTTCTTAGCTACTAACTATGACAAGCAGTCTATGTTGTCAAAGTGTGTTTCTCTTTTTTAGGGTTGAATTGGATTTTTCTTTTTGGCTGGAATATTCACTTTGGGATGTCCATTTTTGTTTTAAGGTGTGTGTTTTGGACATTATTTTTTGTTGTTTTTATTTAATAACTTAATCTTTCCTATATATCCTGCATAGAGAAAAATACATAAAAAAATACAATGAATTACTCTTATATCGTGTTTAGTGTGAGAGTTAAAGAAAAAATAGAAAATGAATAAAGAAGCTAAAATGGTAAAACAATTTCATTATCTCTCTCTTTTCTTTTTTTTGGTTGTTATTCCCTTCATCTTTCATTTCTCACTCCAAACGAGAGCAAAAAGTAGACATGTTAAAAATTGTTTCTTATGTCCTATTCTTTTATTTTCCTTGTATCTTCTCTTTTCATCAAAAATTAGGAAATATAATTTCTCTTTCCCGTATTCTTCTTCTTCTCCATTCTCCCTTTCTAGTCAGTTCCTCCCACAGCAAACATGATTAAAGGGAATCAATTAGTTCAATTTTATTATTTAGATATTGTTGATGATGTAGAAAATGAAGAAATGTTGATGATCTCTAAATGAGGTATGCTCTGTGTATGTGCTAAAGCATGTAAAGTGAAGGGGTTGGCTCCCATCACTACACGTGTTGTGGCATTTAATGTACCCACATGAGGTTGATAAGACAAAGCATATGATGAGGACATCAACTACTCAGTCAAATGGGCCTAGCCGAACTGACCAATGTATTCGACAAAGTAACGAAAGAGCTCAAGTTTTATTAAACCGAGCATATCAATGTGTTTCACAAGCATCAAAAGTGTTCGGCTCTCATTACGACCGAAATGTTTGAAACAGAAGATAAAAAGATAAATATAAGCCTTTAACTTAGGTATTTTGAATGAAAGAATCAACGAAATTGCAGATATTAGGAGGAATTGTTAGAGAAATATCAGCAACTTCCCAAATTGAATCGCTGAATTAAAGAAAGGTGTGTCACCTTGAATCAAAAATCACAAAAACCCTAAGGGGATGACTATCTATAAAAAAATAGAGGAAACCAAGGTGAAGGTATGCTGAACTCTCCTTGTCTTTCAACAATTGTTTCTAGCAGAACAAGAAGACTGAGAGATCAAGTTCGGAAAGATCCTTTATCAGAAATATCAAATTCAATCTTTAGTGGGAGGTATCATCGATTTTATCTCTTACATTTTTGGCATCGTCTGTGGGAAGATTTTCATCATTCGCAACGAAAAGCTACAATGTCAAGATTGAGAAGTGCAATTGGATCTCCTAGAGGCAATTTTTCCTTGGGAAATTCTGATCTAGTATCACTCCCATCTAGCAGCAATGCTAGATTACAAGCCAACAGAAGCCCATCTAGACCTCACGAAGAAGATTGAGGTATCTTCAGCGAGTTTCAAACCATCTAGAGATCAAAATCAGCAAATTGTAGGGCGTGGAGAATCCCTCCGTGCTGAGGGGGAGAACCACTCTTTGGCGAAGCTGGTCCAATCCTTGCAGGATAGGCTGGATGCACACGACAAATTATTTAATAAATCTTACGCTAGGGAAAGGGACATGATACCGGAGAATGAAAGTTGAAAGCCAAGTTGAAGGACTTGACCAGAAAAGAGAAGCGTGAGAGGGACAACTGACGAGAAAGTCCTGAGATAAAACATGACAGAACCAAGGATGCTAGGGATGATAACTACTAGCAGAAAAGACCTCGGGTTTCAGAAGAAGACTCATGGAAGCAATACATTACCAAGGAACTCAACAACTGCCTGAAAAAGCCAGGAAAGCGACAGGGGAATTCGAGAACAACACAGAGTCATCACCCTTCACTTCATGGATTGAAAAGGGGTGAATCCCGAGCAAGTTTATTGTCCCGAATTTTAGACTTTACAACGAAAATATCGACCTAGCCTTACACATCAGACATTACAGACAGTTGATGAAAGTTCACCGAAGGAACGAGCCACTACTTTGCACCATCTTCCTTAGCAGTCTTGGGGAGTCGGCCATAAAATGGTTTGACAGTTTGTCGAAGGGGTCGATAGATGGATGGTCGT